TTGAAGTGTTCCTGCATTTCAATCAATCTTGTGTGTGTGCATGTGTGTGTTTGTAGTCATTTTCAGTGGTGATAAAATAAAAAGAAAAATAAAAATGAATAACTTGAATAGCGATATGCGGCAAATTGATTAATGCTCGAGTGCATTGAAGCGTGGAACATTGATCCATTAATTTATTTACTTATTTATTTATTTATCTATTTATTTATTTATTTATTTACGATAATTGTAGAGATAGTCTATTATTGATTGCAGCTGTGAATGCTCGAGCAATAAAAGATTCAGTGGATTATTGATTACACTCGATGTTTTTAGTAGGTGGTCGTAATTGGCAGTCGCAGAAATGCTAAAAAGATCGATGAACGCACGCGCAGATGAAGTTGAAAACAAGTGAAAACAGGCGATGCCGCGCGTTCGTGGAAGTATTTGATAAATTGATTGAAGTAGATGGGATGTGTTAATGAAGCCTTGGCATGTTTATCGCTTAGTAATTTATCATTGCGAGGGTGAATTCAAATGCGATAGAGTAAATTTTGGCCCGGTTGCGCGCACGAGAGCGGCGTGCTTACGGAATTTATAATGCGATTACATTAACAACCGGCGTGCTCGGCGTAAAATAATAATTAATGCTAGAGCATGTTTACGCATAATCAAAACATCCGCAGGTCGACGGATCTCGTTATTAAAGCTCCATCTTAATTGCGAGCCATGCCGTTGGCAGGGGTGTCCTGCAACGAACGGCGAAGCTGCAAAGTCGTTGATTCAAAGATCGACGCTCACGGCAAGTGGGATTGGATTCGGCGCGTCCAATAACGTTCGCGGACACGCGAGCCGAGGCCGATCCGGCGACAGGGCGCGATCGCTGCGGCAACGCGCTCGAGGCCTTGCTGCTGCGCTCCGCGTCGGCGGAAGAATTAAAAGCCTGAGCGTGGCAGCTTGACGTTTGCCCGCGATTTATAATGCAGACCGCAGTCAGCGCTGCGTGTCCTGTCGGCCGAGTCCTCTGCAGCTGTACCGCGTCCACTTGCGAGCCGGCCCCACCGCCGCCGCCGCCACCGCCGCCGCCGCCGCCGCCGTGCGCTGTGACCCCCTCGGAACAGCCACTGCACAGAGCCAGCGAACCGCGCTGACTCGCAATTAGCGTATCCGCGCGGGCTGCAATCGCCCGTCCTCTGTTATCAGCCACACTGCCGCGTGCGAAGTGACGTCGGCCGCACGAGTCCGCGGTGTCGCAAAAATCATTGCGGACGCACCCCGCGATCGTTCTCCCATTTTTCCGTCCATCGGCTGCTCGGCTGCTCGGCTGCACGGTTGAGTTTGACCACGACGTCGCCGATCGCTGCACAGCTCTCTAGCAGCATCAACCTAGACGCGCCAAGCATCTGCAGCTACCTATTGGATTAACATGGATTGGGAAAAATAGTTAGATGGAACTTTTATTAGCGCGCGGAAGAAAGTTTATCTTGCGAGCGCCTAAATGCCATTTGCTCTGCGGTATTTGGAAGTGGCGAGGCTGCAAATTGTCCTGCTCTATTTTTACTTTGCCGGGAACTCAATTTTATCAGTTTTATCAGGCAGCGAGTGCGCATCAGAGCTTGCACTGGGGCTGATAGTGCGGAGAGCGGACACGCGTATATTTGTGTGGTCCGGCAATTAAGCTGCAGCACGTCCTGCTTACGGGGACACAAGTGGCGAGAGCGAGAAAGCGGGAGAGAAAATTCCAAGTGGAATTCCATGTTGCATTAACGTTTCGTAATGCAAGCTCTGCGCGGGAGGCGTGTCCCAATGGAAAAAGCGGTGGGAGGCAAAAATTAGAGCGGGATACTGCAGGCTGCAGGCGGCTCGAGCGACAGAGTGTTTCAGGCTATTTTCGCGATGCAGTGTACTCTCTTCTTAATTGGTCACTCGTGCTGCGGCATTCAGCGCCTGGCATTATGCCCCCTCCCCCCCCCCCCCCCCCCCTGTCCCGCACACTCGCTTCGCTCGCCACGCAGCATTGCGAACAATGCGACCGCTCGCTCCTCCTCTCCTCCTCATCTCCGTTGCCCTTTTTCTTTTTGTTTTCCGTGTATTCTTCCTCTTGTTCTTCTCTTACACTACGACATCGGCTGTTCGCGCGCTCACGCTAATGTCCGACTAGCTGCGCACACGCGCCGCTTTGAAATATTCAGTGCCCGCGAGTTTAAGTTTTTGCCTGCGCATCGGTAAATCACGCATGATTCCGTAGCACGCGCCTATGTCACATACATGTCGAGCTTGTTGAAAGAAACCGCTGCTCGATTTATCGTCTGCGCCTTCGTATTCCAGTGACCAAACAGCCGGCTAATGGATTGATATTGAACGTTTGCACTCGTCAACGAATGCCGGGCAAAGACTGCTTCGGAGTGCAGTCCAAGGCGCTGGAACTGTTGGCCAAAGGGCCAAGCCGCAGGCCAAACATAGTTTTGAAGTGGACACAGGGAGGCATGTCGTAACCAAAGTGCATCCGGCACTCGCTCCTTGCCGCTCAGCCGAAACTCCTGTCCGTGCGGGTCGCCTGACGGCCTAGCCGCAGCCGCGAAAATCAACACCTTAAGCCAACCCCCTCGCGCGCGCTCTCTCTCTCTCTCTCTCTCTCTCTCTCTCTCTCTCTCTGGCCGTGCCATGGCGCGCTAATCAGCTTGGCATTTGGCGTGCTCCCTGGTTGCTCGAGCTTTCAATGTCGTCAACAAAATCAACACCCCTCCCCCCCTCCTCCCTGAACGATAAACGCACGCAAGGCAATAACACGACGTCGTATGCCGACGTAGCCATCATTTCAAGAGAAGGACGGAATTGTGCAATTCCTTCGACAATATACTGACAGTTTAATCAGCAAACATAATATTCATAATTAAAATAGCAAGCGACGTGCCGTCATCGATCCATCGTACTCATCGATGTTCGGATAACTGTTCAAATTGCAGGTTTGATATTGAATCATTAAGAATGCCTATCCTCTCACTAGTTGAATGTCATTCAATTAATGAAACGCTGTTATTTTGGCGTATAAACGATGACATGTGCGAGGTGAGGCGACTTTCATTAACTGTTCACTGTCGATTCTTGTAAATTCAGAAATAAAAGAGATCCGGGAAAAGCCACGCGTTTGCCGGCTGCATTTTGTATGTGACATTCGTAAAAATTGTTCCGAAAATCTAGCCTCTCGTCACAATGATTTTATTTGTATGATCCTCTCGTACGAGTAGAGTACGTAGGAAACGAGCGAGCTAGATCGAGAAAAAGATCGTGCGAATTGAAGGGAAAGGGCGCAACTATGGCGTATAATATTTTAGATTTCTAAGCGTTCTTCGCCTCTTCTGCAGAGGTGCTTTATTTGCGCTGGGTCAGCATCCTCGAGGTAATGACACCAAGATTCCTGCCCCATTTCACGCATAATCGGTGACCAGTCCCAAAACCATAAAACACAGCGTTAGGCCGCTCTACACGTCACATTGGCGGCAATAAATATGCATGGGAGTTACTTTTCTCGCTCTCGCTCTCTCTTTCTCTCCTTTTCTTACCTTCTACTGTTTTTCTTTGTGACCCGTAACTCTTTTGCTAGCTAAATCTGTCTTTTTTCCTCCTTCTTCGCCGCCAATGACTTACTTCCCTTATACATCGACTTTTATTTGCGCATTAAAAATAAGATGTTGGCCGATTTTCACTATAATCTCCTTTATTTCAAAATATAGCCTATTAAAATCTCATTTCATATCGTCCATTACTTTGTAACCTCCGTTTTTCATTTCGCCTCTTTTATTCACTTCAACCAGATTAACTTACGTTAATCTCTTTCCGGCTTTTCTAGTGCCTTCTAGATATGCAACTTCACAACGTCCTATTCGACTTTCGAATGATTAGTATTGTAATCAAGTAAAACGGAAGATTGGTCGTAGATATGTATGTTAAGAAGAAAAACAAGAATATTGATTGTTTAAAACTATCGAAGTATATGTTGACTGTCTCGGTAAAAATCACCTATTGCCTCAATAACTATCTGTTGAAGCTGGGTCTGATATGAATATTATTTACATGCATGAAACTACAATCCGTCAACATGAAGTAAACAATTAACGAGGGAGCGTGTCCCCCCATGTCTGCTCGCCGCACTCGTCAACGTGACTACGGCCGGACACTTATACCATAAACATGAAAATCTATGTTAGTTTACCATATTAATCTGTCACATAATAATTAGCAGCGCCGATGTTGTCCGTCCTCGAGCGCACACTTTAGCAGTTTCCATCTGGATGGGCACTCGCTTGTTCTTTACCCATTTCCGACGAACTTTCCGCTTTTTCTCCGTATCCTCTTGCACTTCGCATTTAAGGTCGTGCCGTTGACAACTCACCGGGAATGAAGGAAATGAAGGAACGGCTATCGTCAACGTTCTTCTTGATAAAGCGTAGTTAATTAAGCGATACATTGCTCGTAGAAGAAAGCTCCCGTTCTCAGAAGAAATCAAACCTTCTAATTTTTATTACTACAGTGGCGACATTTATTCATTTATTATACTTATCTAGCAAATCACACGTTTTATTATACCATTAATTACATACTTAACAAAATGTATTTATGATACTTGCCTTCTTTACTGAATTAAGTACATGAATTTTACTTATTGTTTTGAAATTTCTTATGTAATTTTCCATTTAATTACGTTTTCCATCTGTATGCACTGCCAACAATTTTTATTCCGTATGGCCCAAGTCGCTGTCAAGCCTCGTTTGGTTTGCACCTATAGAGGGCGCAATAATTTAAGAAATAGCAAAGTAGCCCGACGGTGATGATAATTACGCTGTTTATTATATCATCGTACAGATATGCGCATTATGAAGGTTTTCTGTAATGGTCTTATTACTTTACCTTCTCTATTATCATTTTAGTATTCAGGTAATAGTTTTAATTCGTAGTAGTTACTCAATTCGATAAAGTGATTTTATGAGCGATTAAAAGGCACGAATTTCTTATGATTACAGATACGACGAGCTTGCAAGATCTAAAAATGACAGTGCCGGCCAGAGTACGCGTTGGAGACTCGGCTTTACTTATTTGCAGTTATGATTTACAAAATAATCAGTTATACGCAATCAAATGGTATCTGGATGATGGCGAATTTTATAGCTATACGCCTAAAAATAATCCCCCTCATAAGAGCTTCAATCATCGTAGTATCAAAGTCAACGTAAGTTTATTGACTATTTTGTTACATTATACGATGCAATATTGTCCTACTATCATTAGAAATCTTGCATTACAAATTGAAAACTGGAATCGTAACCACGTTTTCTAAAATTATAGTTTTGCGATTTACAGACTGCCTGACAACCACAACTAGCAATATGTAAAGTTACGGCATCGAGAAACGGTGTTCAACAAAATTGCCTGCGTGAAGCTTAATGATTTCGTCATACTACCCTAAAAAATTAAGAAAATTGTTTCATTTTTCACCGAGATAAAGTACATTTTTCATTCAATTTCTATTGAAAGTACACCACTTTTTCTCGCATCTTTCCTCCCATTGCTTGGACTGCAAGCGACAGCAGAGAACGAAAATACAGTCTCGCGATTGTCGGTGAATTTGTTGAAGCTTTTCAAAGTAGCAAAAAGTTAGTTTTTATTAACAAACTTCAAATTTTTCTCAATTCTTTGGATATCTAGCTCAGTCTTCTCGTTTCTTAATGTCAATAATTAAACGAGTAATGATTTGTCTAATTATTGACATGAAGAAATGAGGCAATTGGTGATTTTTTATTTTACAAATTTCGAGAAAAATATAGCTTAACGATAGTCATAACTAGAAGTCCAAAGTCAACTTACAGCAGAAGATATTTTATCTGTTTATAACGTGATTCGCAACATAAACTTTATGGCTATTTTTAAGCTGTTTAGATGAATATTGCAGTCAGTATACATATACATACTGATGTCAGTATACATTTAATAAACTACATATCTTATGAAGAAATTAAATCCCAGCTGTCATCTGTACGGCTTTTCCAACGTTCACAAATTAATAAATGAAACTACATGATTTTAATAAATGTAGACACACTAATTAATATCTTTTTTAATTTCGAAAATAATTTTTCTGCATTAAAAGGCGCAATTCCTATTATACTGCTAATTAATACCATGCAAACAGCACGGATAAATAAATAAGAAGTTTTAAGGTTTCTTTTTGTAGTACCTCGATTAATATATACTTGATTTTGACGTGTCTAGAATCGTTTTGTAGATATTTTTGTTGCTAAAAAGCTTTATGAATAATTTTATTCTACACGTAGATTCCACTATTCAAATAAAAAAAAAACTAATTAAAATTTTTTTACTGTTATTGTAATAATTGTTTATCAACGTGAACTTGGTTTTTATTTGAGACCACTTATCTTGATTGAGTACCGTTTTCCCCATCTTCACATCTATAGTGACTTTGTTAATATGACGGTGGAAGTACGACTTATATTCAATAGGAGTAAGGTAGCTATAAACGATGGCTCCGCAAGTAGAGTTCATTTGTTAAAAGTCTTATGTTACAAGGTTTCTTGAGCCCGGATACAAGTAGCTTAACGCCAAACAAGGGGGAAATATGTAAGGGAGCGAGAGAGAGAGAGAGAGAGAGAGAGAGAGAGAGAGAGAAGCTTGATGGTAAGAAAATATTTGATCGTTAGCCCGTAGGCGTAAAGAAATTTATTGAAATCGTTCATCACTGAGGCTCAAAGAATATTGAGTTTCGTAATAACTCTCAGCCTTGAGTGTGGTTTGAAACTTATTAATACCTTTTTCTCTGCTGGAGAACAGAACATTCGACAAAAGAAAATTATTTCGTTGTCATAGAAGTTTGTTGAGTAGAGCCGCTAAAACTTACAAATAAATCAGGACTTTAACTGATGTCAGGTTGTTGACGAGCTCATTGCCAGAAGTTTTAGCATGCCTTCAGGTTGCTTACGACTTTTCAACAACTCAAAATTCACAAGTACTTGCTGTTCCAATGGAATTTCTTCATTATAATAAATTAAATATTCTAGAAAAGTTTAATAAGAAAAAAAAGTCGAAATCATTTAGGCACCTCCTTCGATGTGCGCATACATGTTAACCTGGACATTATTATTTTATTATAAAAGTGGATAAGTAGTGTGAGCAGAGGGAGTATGAGCGTGCTTACTAAGGGGTAGGGTAAAAAGATAAGTTGAGATAATAGTAATTGCTAAGCAAGCACCAGAAACAGGTGGAACGAATGGCCGCGGGTGAGAATGTGTAAAGAGTGAAATAAGGGTGAGCGCATGTGAGTAACTGGTTGGGAGCGTGCTGGAGCTACAAGGAGGGGGACTATCTGCTGTGTCTGTGGGATTATACTTTTTGCACTTTTCATAGCAGTGCAGCTGCTGTATCACATCGATGACTGAGGACCGACACATGAGGCGAACGTGATGCCTGTCCTCCACCGAAAGCTTACGAGTACGTTGGGACAAAGATCGATACGGCTGATTTACGGCCTCGTTCTTTTACTTAATTTCCCGACTCTTGCCAGTTTATTTGGCAAACGGCTTTACTATAATGAGATTTTCTCGACCCCTTTGGCTTTAACACATGATTTCATTCAACTGTCGACAACTTACTTATTCTCCGCTCTTTTTCATTTGCTACTCTCATTCTACTTGCTTACCTACTAGTTCGAATCATGTCATGTCTTTCTTTTTATTTGACTTGTCCGGAAAGCTTAAATACAAAGCCAGATTTTACGAGATTCAATTAGTCATATTTAAATATAAACCAATTAATGACGAAGTCACTTATAAAATCGCAGCTGCTTATTTAAGGAAGAAGAGGTATAAAATTGTTTAAGGCTCCATGTATAAAATACAGTTGCGTAAGCAACTCCATTAACTTGACATTCGGTCATGTCCTACTTGCCGCCTCCAGTGTTTTGTCTTGATATTTGGTCTGGTTTAATAACTGGAAAACACGCCTATTTTTTTATTTTTCTTTTGCCACAGATGTTTTTGAAAATTATTGAGATGCGCGTATGGAATGTCGAGTTTTGAGGTTACATTTGATTGGAGAGAGAAAAATCGAGTTAAATTATAAGATATATACATTATCTTAATTTGCTATTTGTTTTCGCGAGTCAGAGTCAAAAGTTGGTAGCATGCGTGCGTGTACATTGGGATCTAAACACCGCAGTTCTATTATTCCAGACCGCGTCTGTTCCACGCTGGCCCCGAATATGCGAGGTACTCAACCGTGCTTCGCTTATACTGTACGCTGCTGCTGCCTGTATCTGCGCGTACTGTGGCCTAGCAATACATTCTAGATCAGAAATGCACCGCAGTCCTCCAGAAATACTTTTCAGTCGACCACTGACTAATTTTTACAGCTAGCGGTTTTATTTAATGATTCTGGCAAAAGATACGTATAACTGGCAACCCCTAGAATGCTGGCACTGGTTCAGCATCCAAAGGAATCACGTCCGAGCCGACTTATCCCAGCCGCTGGCGCGTGCCATTTGTTTTCGCTGTACACTTCCATATCCTTTATTTTCTCCGCAGTGCTACTTGTTCCAGTGTCTCCGTGAGTGACACCGTAACAGGTAGCCACGGCAATCTCTATCGTCGGAAGAGCAGAAAGAGAAAAAAACGAAGAAAAGTAATGACAACAAGTGAATAAAATAAAACCTTCGGTATAGCGGGCTTTAGTGCACCTAGTGCAATAGTAAGATGTAAACTTTTCTCTGTCGCTCCTTCCTTCCGACATTCCGTTCGGCATTCTCTTTATCGCGATCTTCATGTTCGCGGAAATGCGCGTACGACCTTCCTTCAAAGCTTGCGCCGTCGCCTAGTCTAATGCTAGATCGAGCAGTGAGCTCGTTGGAAAGTACGCCATTACATCGATATTTCGTTTCAGTTCCGGAAGGTGGGTGCCTCGCTCTACTCGTATGCGCAGCTGTTAGACGCTCGGAGTAGCTGCCGACAAAAGCAAAATTGGCCTACGACGTGAAGCAAGCACATCTCTCTCTTTCTCTCTCTCCCTCTCTCGTGCAAACCTTATCATCATTTGGATCAGTTGGAAATCGAGCTGTTCTTGCAATGGCCCAGGAGAATCAAATTATTTCTACCCACCCTTCGCCTTTCAAAATAGGTCAAATTGGCATTCCGATAGGTTGCAGGTGCCTATAGGGATTACTTTCAAATCGCTTTTTTATTGCAATTAATTAGTGGAAAAAAATTATAATTTCGATTGTGGCTATGAAACATAAATTTCAAACTTGTTATAACGCTCGACCGTTAATGTTTAAAATCAGTACTTTGTAGTTTAAATTAATTAAAATTATAATTTCATACAATGGAGGAATCCGGGGCAACACGGGTACACCTTACGGAAGAATTGAAAAAAAAGAACTAAATGACAGAAAACATTATATTATTACATATGGAATGTGAAGTGGGTATAATACCAATACATCTGTGCAGCTTGTCTTGTCCGACACAATAAAATCCCTTTTTATATTATAAATAATGTAAAAAAAGAAATAATCACAATTTGAAATAACCGAGTGTTAAAGTAATTAATATGATCCTATATTATTTTTAAAGTGTCTACTAAACCGAAGAAATAATATACCTTCATGCATAAAATCGTAAGCCGGACATCCAAAGTAAACAAAAATCGTTTAGAGTCGATGTTATAGCCACGAGCACTACATCCGTGATAAAATTCTTATCATTATAATATAAAGAATATACTTATACATTGTAGTAATATTCATTTAATAATAACAAATACCAAAATAATAGGCTTTGTCCGTATTGTTTGGAGTATCCAACTTGCCCAGGATTGTCTTAATGCTTGCAATAAAAACAATCGATTTCAAAACAATTTCTAAGCTAATTACTTCGATGTCAATTTTACTTTTTTTGAACGGTGTGTAAATGAGAGGGAGGCTTTCAATTAGCGTACAAAGATATTTATTCGCAAACATAAATATTCAAAATTTATAACCGAGCTCATCGCATACAGGGCGTTTATAAAACAATTTAGATACACTTTCAAAATAATTTCAATACTAAATCATGCCAATTGAAAAATGAATCACTCCGTAACTATTAGTGTGCAGATTATTTTAATAGGGCTCAGGGTTATTATTTCTTAAGAGACATTTCCTCTCATATTTGGATACAAATATTA